CGGATACAAATTTTTAAATATTTGGATACTTCGGGTAAACCCGAATCCGAACCCGAAATACCCGATCCAAACCCGATCCGAACCCGAAGTTTTAAAATACCCGAACGGGTCTTAGTTTTCTAAATCCGAAAAACCCGAACCCGAAAAACCCGACCCGAACCCGACCCGAATATCCAAACGCCCAGGCCTAGATGTTAATATGGGCTAACCCACCCCATTTAGACCCACCCCATATAAAACCCATCCCATTTAGACCCACCCCATTTAACCTCATTTAAGTTTACACCCCATTTATCTTCCCCATTTAAACGCATTTAAATTTCCTTTACTCATTTAAACCCATTTAGACCCATATAACATTGTTTTGTTCTAAACAATATAATATAATCAATAATTATTTTAATTGATTATTTAAAATTTACAGATTATTTCATTGAATATAATTGATAAATAATGATATAACTGTTTTTATTATTTTGTTGAAGAATAATATAGTTTCAAAAAAAACGAAATTTTGCGGTTTTGGCGGAAAAACGCGGGTTTACGATTTTGGCGGAAAAACGTTATTTTATATTATGATATTTTTGGTGATAAAACACAATTTTACGATTGTGGCGGGAATGCGGGTTTACGGTTATGGCGGGAAAACGCTATTTTCCGCCAAAATCGCAAAATTGCGTTTAATCACCAAAAATTATTTTTCCCATAAAATAGCTTTTTATCACCAAAAATTATTTTCCCATAAATTGCGTTTTATCACCAAAAATTATTTTCCCATAAATTGAATTTAAGTAGAATATTAGTTTAAAATATATTTAATATTTTGCTCTTTTATTTTAGTTATTGAAATATTAACATTTTTAATAAAAATAATTGATATAGAATAAAACATAAATGGGCTTAAATGGATACCCATTTATTTGTGGGAAACCCCATTTAATAAAAGGTTTAATTGGGGTAACCCATTTAACCCCATTTAACATTTTTCCCTAAATGAGTTTAAATGGGCTAATTTTTTTTTTTTTTGTTTTTTTTTTTTTGTCAACAGCTTTTAGTTAAAATTCAAAAGAACCATTCCTGAGGAATGTTGTTTACATAAGTGATATGATGCGGTTCGGGAAGACCGACACGGATGACGGAATTACGGCCTATTAGTCTTTGCAATGTGGGTTATAAGATTATCTCGAACATTCTTTGTCAAAGACTTAAGACGGTTCTACCAAAACTGATTTCGGAACACTACAAGAAAAATCCACATTCTTATCACGAGAGAAACGCTATGTTTTGTCATTAATAGCGTTTTCATAAACGCTATTTTATGCCCCTGTTATCGTAAGTACCCCACATAAGATAGCGTTAGATACAGATGCTATGTTAAAGACTTCTATTATAGCAGTAGGGAAACGCTGTGTGTTCAAGCGTATTTATTTGTTTGAAATTTTGAAATTACATATTATCCATGCTATGATAGGGGTCTCTACGATAGCTATATTAAAACGGTTTAGTTTATGTTTTTATAAGAAATATTTATGCTATGAGATATTATCTTATAGCGTTTATATATAAGATAAAAAATTAGTAATTACTCATATATTGCGCTACAGTAGATGACTCTAACATAGCATTTTTTAAATCTTACATTTTAAAAACCAATATATTTCGTAGCAGGTTTTTAAATGCTATTATATTTGTTTTCATGTCACTGATTTCTTTTTTTATGACACACCTGTTTTAAAATCCCCAAATACATCATTAATAACTTCAAATCCAAGATACAATTCACAAGACATGTTTCACATAACAAGCTAACAAGTTTTCCAAAGATCCTGTCAATGATCTCCTTAAGATCCAAAACCAACCAACTAAAAGTCTGAAAACAAGTGTTCCAAAGAAGTTTCACAAACCAAACCTCAGGCCATGATCACTTTGTCCTCAGGCCATGCAATAACTGTCCCAAGGGCATCTTCCATAATCTCTATTTCATCTGATTTCCTCCAAACTTCTGCATCGCTAACTTTGACGATATCTACCCACACTTTAACAGCATTAGTACCCAAAGGAACAAAGTGAACCTTCTGGTTTAGATCATTTGTTGCCCATCGTCCTTCAGCAACTACTCGACTCTTTCCGGTAATGTCCATCAACTTGCATCTCTTATTCTCCTTTGAACCATTTTGCATGATACGCTGCCATGTTTACAACATAAAACAAAAGGTCAGAAGATTGACAGAAGTAATCAGACCAAAATAAAATAGAAATACCTGTGATTTCCGGATAGGAGACTGTGAATCTGGTATAGTTTTCCTTACTGGAGAGCTTGGGCGTGTTTCAGTCTCAATAGGAGATTCAGAACCTGATCCTGAAGATTTAGAGGCATTAGACGCTGGTTTATCACTTGTCTCCGCAGATTTTGTCCCAACTGCAGATTTAGATCCTGAAGGTATATCAGTTGATGCAGAATGCTGTCTAGGAGACTGAGTCTCAAAGCTAACTTTATTGACAGGCCATGAAACAAAAGCCATCAAACAGTCCTCAAGGTATGCCATATCAATTGTAGGCCTCCATATGAATGTTTCTGGTTGAAGCACTGAATCCACAAATACTTTTACTGCCTTTGGTCCAAGAGGTAGTCCATTAACCAATGCAGTTTCTTCTTGTGTCTGCCAACGACCCTCAGCAACAATCACATCATCATCAGACAAATCCAGCAGTTTACATTTATTCATAGAGTTTGCTCTTAGGCCCTGTCAAAAACATTTTGAAAATAACTCATCAAATACCAACTCATAAACAGGCTCAGTAATATAGTGTATCAATATAAAGTTTACCAAAGGCGCAATGTCTTCTATTTGGAGCTCTTTGTCCAAAAGAACACACTTAGAGGCTGGCCATGCAATAATCTGTCCAACAGCTTCCTGAATAGTAAACATCTTAGTTGCTGGTCTCCAGAGGAATGCATCTGCTTTAGTAGCAGTTTCAACCAACACTTTAAGATCTGTAGGGCCTAGACGACAGTCATTCACTAAGTCATCAGGATCAGAAGATAGAATACGCCCCTCACCAACGTTTTCATCACTACCAGACCAATCAACCAATACACACTTAGGGTGTGATCTTTTGTTTACACTCTACAAAATAGAAATTTAAGTCAGAAATAACAATAGTAAGAAGGATTCATGGATCTGATATAAATTACTTACTCTGGCAGCTGAGTTTTCACCTATTTCTGGTTCTTGTCTCTATAACATAAAAGAATAATGTCAGTTCTCATATATATATATATATATATATATAATCTTAGCTGCTTGGATCATTAATTGTGTAAGTAGTTAACCTGCTTCTTCATTTTGCTAAGTTCCTCCTCCAATTCATTCACCTTCTTCAGTAACTGAACCTGCTTCTCTTCCATGTCAGTCATAACCTTGGTCTTCACTTGAAAACAAGCTAATTTGGTCTTACTCATGCCTCTACCCATTGCCCGCAGCCTACCAGGATTGTCGGGTCCTAAAAGTTGACAGAGGTGATCTTCTTCTGGATTTGTTGTGGTTGTTGGAGCATCACTTCCAACAAGCTCAGCTGCTTTCATCTGCAAATCAATGACACTTGTTACTAAAGGAAAACAAAATCATGTTAAAACAATCTTGGGACATACAATCTTTTCAGCTGCATTAGTATTCACTGGCGTGCCATCCTTTTTGGTACGCGACTTGACCCACACCTTCAGCCTAGTCACCTCAGATGGATCTCCACTTTCAATTTTCTGTTTACAAGCAACACAACAATAAATCTATATAAGACTAAACAAGAGAAACATCAAAGATGATAGGATCATTACCATGTCCTCAGTAAGTCGGACCATTCCTTTGCGGCTAGTAGTATGAGGTATTTGTTTACTCCTCCTCTCCTTATATTTATCACTCACAGCCTAACAAGCAAATTTATTATGCTATCACCAATGAAATACCAATCTTAAATAAGGATAAACACAATACCTTAAAGGCTGTGCTTGTTTTGACTTTGACAAATTTTCTCCAATCTGCTGGATTCACATTCATTGGTCTCAAATTCATCCTCTGTTGGTTATTAGCAGCCTCATTTATATCTTTGACAATGCGTGACTTGTATGATCTCCACAAATTTCCCATTTGCTTTAACACAGCAATCCTTTGAAACTCCTCATCAAGTTCAAACCTTTCCTGCAAAAACTAACCATCAAAACTGATACACTGTAATAGTACACTACACTGTAATGGAAATGTTACCTGAACAGATTTCCACAAAACTGTTTTGATATCTTGACCAACATGCTTCCAGTTTTCAATTGTAACAGGAACATGTTCTCTAACCAGTGTTCCAACGTATGATGACAGCTTCACTGACCCTGGACCATAAGGATCTCCCATGAGATTGTAGTCAACTTTTTCTCTGACAGTTGGATCTTTGGCAATGTTTTTCATCTTGGTTGGTCCCCTATGTTTCTTACGCTTAGGCTCCTGGTCATCAGATAACTCAAGCTCACCTTCAGGGTCATCCTCTTCTCTATCTTTATCAGCTGGTACTATCCCTTCCGTCTGAGATACTTGAACAGGTTGCTCCACTTGCTTACTGGTCTGTGGTTCTTCTGCAGTCTGCTGTTCTTGTTCCTGAATCTCAGGCTCAACAGTACCAATATACTCTGGCTCATCATCCTTTGTTGTACCCTTCTTCTTACTTGATTGTTTCCCTCCCTTCTTCTTTGGTCTGCCCATTTAATTAAGTCTCCTGCATGACCAGTAAACAAATAAGTAAAATATGATAATCTTACCTTACACATACTATGAGATAACAGACACCACATAAACAGACACCAAAACAAGAACAAAGATTTTTAAAAACGCTACATTTGGCACATATATTCCTTCACAATCAGTTCTAGCAGTTTCTGCATCATCTATGTCAATATCCATGTCAACAGCTGCTGGCAATGGACCAATATCTGCATTTCCATCCTAAACATCTTCTTTGCTATATCTTCTTGTAGAACCTCTCATGACAACATACCAACTGGAGGAATCATCTTCCCTTGAATAAAAGACTTGTTTTGCCTGAGATGCTAGTATGTAAGGATCCCGTAAAAAACTGACTTGACTCTGATTTAAGTTAACAAGTGTGAACCCATCTTCCACTTTAACTCCATTACCTCTCACTGCCCATTGACACCGAAACAGAGGAACATAGAAGACATTATAGTCTAGCAAGATGATGTCAATGATTCTGCCGTAGTAAGATACCAAATCAACCACCTGTGATGTATCTTTAGCACTAGATCTACACATAGCTGTAGCCTCATAATAGACTCCACTATTCTGACTTTTCCTTTCAAGTGAGCTTGTGTGAAAACGTTGCCCATTCACTATATAACCAGTGTATGACCTTGCACTACACCGTGGACCATATGCCAGCCATTTAATTGTATCTTCATGTCCAGATGAAGAAATGGGTATCTAGCAAGATGCATAAATTAGTGTCAGTGACTTATATTTATATGAATCAGACTAAATATATACAAAAGACAGTGAAATAGCTTGCCTTTTCCTTTAACCATGATGCATAGTTCTTAGCATGCATAGACCATAACATTGATGCATCACGTCTACACCTTGGATTAGTGTCTTGTAGATGTTCCAAGTGCATGCTTGCAAAAGAGGATTAAAAAAACATAAGTAACCAGATTGCTATATTGACACAAGTAGTAGTTAATATAAACAGAACTTACTCAACAAAAGGATCCAATGCAGCCATATTTTGAATGACAGCAAGATGGGCTATGTTCTTTTCCATCTCAGTAAGAGTAATTGCAGTTCCTGCAGATAAAGGACGACCTTCTAGTATAGAACTGTTCTCATACTCTGTATTTCTCTCTTGTTTTTCTTCTACACTTGTTGTCTTCTTCAAGAAATCACTACAGAACTGCACACATTCTTCAGCAAGATATGACTCTGCAATACAACCCTCTGGTCTTGCTGGATTTCTTACAAAGTCTTTTAGAACTTTCATGTACCTTAAAAGTCAAAAATTAAAGATATCAGAATGCAGACAAGCACTTGATTATTGAGCTGTCAAAACAACAATTCAAATAATGTATACCTCTCAAATGGATACATCCATCTAAAATGGACTGGTCCTCCAAGTCTTGCTTCTCTTCCTAGATGTACTGTCAAGTGTACCATGATATCAAAGAAGCTGGGAGGAAAAAACCTTTCAAACATACAAAGTGTTTCCACAACTTCATGTTCCATTACTGAGATAACCTCTCTGTCAATGACTCTCTTGCACAAATGGTTGAAGAAAGAACATAACCGGAATATTGCTGTCCTAGGACCTTTTGGTAATAGCCTTTTAAGTGCAATAGGAAGAAGTTGTTGCATCAACACGTGGAAGTCGTGAGACTTGAGTCCTGTTATCTTAAAATCCTCTAATGACACACCCCTTGATATATTAGAACAATATCCATCTGGACCTTTAAAGTCAAATAGTCTTTTGCAGAATATTTGCTTCTCTTTCTTTGACAAAGACCAAGGTGCTGCAGGTAGATATGTTCTCTTTCCTTGGACTTTTGGATGCAAATCCTTCCTTATACCAAGATCTTGGAGATCTCTACGAGCATTAAGACCATCTTTAGATTTTCCACAATGCAACAATGTAGAAACAATGCTTGAAGCAACATTCTTCTCTACATGCATTACATCCAGATTATGCCTTACAGGGAGATCCTACAACAAATAAATATATAGTTATATTAGATCCATACCTAATCACAGCTTAACTGATCAATTATGCAAATAATTCAACAAAGCATACCTCCCAATAAGGCAGCTTGAACAATATTGATCTTTTCTTCCACCTTGATAATTCCTCCTGGTCTACTTCTACTTCTTCATCATCCTCAGATTCACTAGACAAATCTGAACTATCAGAAACTGGATCAATATAGGCAGTCCTTTTTCTCTTCCTCCCAGAACCTTTAACATTTCCAAAGTCATTTTTGTAGTTTTTCAGGATCCGATAGACTTCATGACCAGTTAAAATTCTTCCTTTTCTCCCATGTTCAGCCTTTCCATCAAACCATGTCTTCTTATCCCTATATCTATGTGTTGGTGCCAATCCCTTTCTATGGCACATGTACACATGCTTCCTGCTAAACTTCAACCACTTAGAATCTGTATTTTTTGCACATACAGGACAGCCCATTTTACCTTTTACTTTGCAGCCAGCAAGATTACCATAAGCTGGAAAGTCACTAATAGTCCAGAGAAGCATTGCCTTTAGATTAAATGTAGTTTTACTATAAGCATCATAAGTTACCTCTCCCTTCTTCCACAGATGATTTAAATCTTCAATAAGAGGCTCTAAGTATACATCAATGCTATTGCCAGGTTGTTGTGGACCAGGAATAAGCAAGGTTAGCATTATGTTCTCCTTCTTCATACATAGGTGAGGAGGCAAGTTATAGTTTACTAGCAGAACTGGCCAGCAACTGTACTTAGTATTCTTCATGTTGAATGGATTGAAGCCATCTGTGGACAGACCAAGACGCATGTTCCTTTCTTCTGATGCAAATAAAGGGTACTTGTCATTCATCTTTTCCCATGTAACAGAATCTACAGGATGGCGAAGTTTGCCATCACTGCTCTTGTTACTGAAATGCCATCTTAAGTCCTTTGCCATTTCCTCTGTCCTGAACATTCTCTTCAGCCGCGGTATTATTGGAAAGTACCGTAATACTTTCTGTGGTACACCTTTCTTGACTTCACCAGTGTGCATATTAATCTTCTACCTTGAAGCATTGCATTTGGGACAATTTTCCAGCTTCTTGTACTTCTTTCTGAAAAGACAGCAGTCATTTACACACGCATGAATCTTCTCATATCCCATATCAAAGCTCTTCAAAAATTTCTTCACATCATACAAGGATGTGTGAAGCACATTATCCTTGGGCAACATTTTTGGTAGTGTCTCAAGAAGCTCATCAAAGCTCTTGTCAGACCATCCATTCTTGGTCTTAATCCTAAAGAGAGACACAATAGCCGACAGCTTGCTGTGGTTTAAACAATCAGGATATAAAGGGGTTTCTGCATCTGCTAGCTTAGCTAGAAACTCATCTTCTCTCTTGTCCTCACCCTCTGCAATCTCACTTAAGTCAGCCACTGGATTGTCACCTAGCTCACCATTACTAGCCAACTCTTGGTCATGGTATTCAGCAGCTTTGTATAACTCAAGAATTTCCTCATTCCAAAGATTTACTTCCCTCTCACATTCTCCATCAGCAACTGTGTCTCCATGATGGTACCAATCACTTCGCAGCCTGTAAGCCTCATCCATCCCTCTTGTTACAAGATGAACCACCACATCACTACTTGAGTGGCGGTATACATTACGACAGTCTTTGCAAGGACATATTATCTTATCTATATCTCCTAAAGCCGCAGCCACATCAAATACAAATCTCCGAGCACCTCTCTCATAACCAGGATCAGCTCTTCAATGAAGAAGTAAAGTAGGAAAAAAAAATCTTAAAGTTTCTAAACCCCATTTTAAAGCAAACCTATGTATATAATTTTATTCCTTACCTGCATAGATGCACCCATGCCTTGTCCAACATTATATGTTATAAGCTTAAATAAAACCTTATTAACACAAATTGAAACCATAATCAACAATAGTCACAGAGAAAAATCACATGATAAGAGAACTTATCATGATCAGACAACTTATCATGAAGACACAACTTAAACTGAACACAATGCTAAAGACATACTAAGCATTAAGCAACTTACACTATCTCAGAAACAAACAAATTAACAAAACAAGAACAGTGACAACAACCTTAACAAATTGACAACAGTCACAGCAACTTCAACAAAACCACAATAGTCACAGCAAATTTATCAAAACCAAAACATTCATACCATTTACAATCAAAGAATCACAGCCACATTCAAGGACTAACCTGTCGTATTGGTACAACAAAGGCAAAGCTTCAGTTCCCCAACATTTCAATCACCAACACTTGCCAAAAAATGCGGAATCAAAAAAGCAGAATCAGTATAAGCTTAAATAAAAAATCTACTAACAAATCGATTAGGAGAAATCTAAATCGCAAAACCAAGATCTTTGTGAAGAGAATGTGGATCAAAATGATTAACAGACATCAAAATCGCAGAAGTTTTCGCTTTACCCTAATTTCAAACTAATCGAAGAACCCTAATTTCAAAATGACATAAAAAATCTGATTTTCTGTACCAATCTACTGAACTAGGTTGAAATTAGAGACAATCTTGACCAAAAAATCAATAGAAATGGAAGTTATAGAAACGAAGAAAGACATGCATGCCTCGATTTTAGCTAGCTGACGGCCGCTGCGAAGGAGAATGTGGCTACGGAGGAGTACAAATCCGACCTTAATACGCCGCAGAGGATAGATTACTCTGAGTTTTGTCGGAAAAAATTTCGAGAGAAAGGGTTTTGTTTTTGGTTAAGTGTTTTGACTGAAGTGGGAAATGAATTAGATCTGAGGCGCTAAAGGGTTTTTTTTTGCTAAGTGTTGGCGGATTAAGTCATTTTAGATTCCCGCTCATTAAATTTCTATCATAGCGTTTACACCGCTATTATAAAGAAACCCAAAAAAAATAAACTCTACCATAGCAGTAACAGAAAAAACGCTATACTCGTGTGCTATCAATGCTGATATTTGTTGTAGTGGAAACACAATCGGCTTTTGTGGAAGGACGGTTAATTTCAGATAATATTCTTATTGCACAGGAGATGTTTCATGGGTTAAGGACTAATTCTTCCTGTACAGGAAAATTCATGGCTATTAAAACTGATATGAGTAAGGCTTATGATAGGGTGGAATGGATTTTCATTGAAAAGGTACTAAGAAAATTGGGTTTCTGTGAAAAATGGATTAATTGGATAATGTGGTGTATTACAACCGTCCAATATAGAGTTCTCATAAATGGACAACCTCGAGGACTAATAGTTCCAGAAAGGGGATTACGGCAAGGAGATTTGCTCTCTCCTTATTTATTTATTCTTTGTACAGAGGTATTAATTGGGAATATCCGAAAAGCAGAACGGGAAAAATTAATCACGGGTATTAAAGTAGCAACAGCAAGCCCTCCGGTGTCACATCTGTTATTTGCGGATGATAGTTTATTTTTTTTCAAGGCCAACAAGGATCAATGTGGGGTAATTTTAGAGATATTAAACAGATATGAAGCAGTTTCGGGTCAACAGATCAATTTTTTAAAATCATCAATCCAGTTTGGACACAAGGTAGATGATGACACCAAGGAAGAAATTAAATCAACCTTGGGCATCACTAACATCGGTGGTATGGGTTCTTATCTCGGATTGCCGGAAAGTCTAGGTGGTTCCAAGACAAAAATTTTCTCGTTTGTTAGAGATAGATTACAAACAAGAATTAACGGATGGTCGGCAAAATTTTTATCGAAAAGAGGGAAAGAAGTGATGATTAAATCGGTAGTTGCGGCATTACCAACTTATGTAATGTCGTGCTTCAGACTACCGAAAATAATCACTTCTAAACTTACTAGTGCGGTTGCTAATTTTTGGTGGAGTTCGAATGGTGATTCAAGAGACATGCACTGGATGGCTTGGAATAAGTTGTGTAATAGTAAATCGGAAGAGGGTCTAGGTTTTCGGAATGTAGATGATTTTAATTCGGCTTTATTAGCAAAACAATTATGGCGGTTGATCATGTTTCCGGATTCTCTTTTTGCAAAGGTTTTTAAAGGGCGGTATTTTCGGAAATCCAATCCATTGGAAAATATAAAGTCATACTCACCATCCTATGGATGGAGGAGTATCTGTTCAGCTAGATCTCTGGTTAACAAAGGACTTATTAAAAGAGTCGGATCTGGGAAATCCATCTCCGTTTGGGAGGATCCCTGGATTCCAGCTCAATTCCCGAGACCAGCAAAAAGTAATGGTTCAATTATTGATCCATCTTTAAAAGTTAACAATCTGATTGATAGTCGGTCGAATTTTTGGAATATTGATCTCTTACAGACGATCTTTGATCCAAAAGATGTTGAGCTTATAAGTGCTCTTCCTGTGGGTGTGCCAACTAAAGAGGATACTTTGGGTTGGCATTTTACAAAATCCGGCAAATATACAGTCAAATCGGGATATCACACCACACGGATGGATGTATCGGAGACCAATTTATCTTTTATTGGACCAGATATCACACCATTAAAAGCACACTCTTGGCAAGTGTAGTGCCCACCGCGGATTCGTCATTTTTTGTGGCAAATTTTAACGGGTTGTGTACCGGTAACAGAGAATTTGAGGAAAAGAGGAATTGATTGTGACACTGGATGCGCTAGATGTGGCGCACCAGAGGAAACAATCAATCATACTCTCTTTCAGTGCCATCCAGCAAGACAGATTTGGGCACTTTCACAGATTCCTACAGCTGTGGGTATTTTCCCCACAGATTCTATTTTTACGAATTTTGATCACTTATTCTGGAGAATACCATCAGAATATGATTCATCAGTTTTTCCATGGATTATTTGGTATATTTGGAAGGCAAGGAATGATAAAGTATTTGAAAACATAGACAAAGATCCTCCAGAGGTGTTACAGTTAGCGGAAAAGGAGGCTCAGTTGTGGCAGTCGGCTCAATTAGAACTTCACAATGAAAATCTTGGTTCAGTGGATTTGGTAACTCGAACTCGAGTGAGGGATGTTTCTCTTGAGTCGAATTTTTCTGGGTATCGTTGTTTTTTGGACGGATCATGGAAAGAAAATGATAAGTTCTCAGGTACAGGGTGGTTTTGTACATCATCAAATGGAGAGCCGCCAACCATGGGAGCTGCCAACCTTCGAAGAAGTCTATCTCCGCTACATACAGAAGTCGAGGCCCTTCTATGGGCGATGAAGTGTATGATAGGTGCAGACAATCAAGAGGTAGCTTTCTTTACAGACTGTTCAGACCTGGTGAAGATGGTGTCTTCTCTAACCGAATGGCCGGCATTTTCAGTGTATTTGGAAGAATTTCAGAGTGACAAGGATGAGTTCTCAAACTTCTCTTTATCTTTAATTTATCGTAGTGCAAATGTAAAAGCGGATAATTTGGCACGAAAAATTCGTACAGAACTGCTTCATATCACATATGTAAACAACATTCCTCGGGAATGGCTCTTTTGAAGTCTAATTAATTTCGGATGACAAAAAAAAAAAAAGAGTTTAAATGGACTAATTTTTTTTGTACATACCCATTTATTAAATGGAGTTCCATGCCCAAATTAACATCACTAAACATTACCGATCAGTTTCTGGTGATGGTGTACACCGATCGGTACACGTACATCGATCGGTACACGTATATTACCGATCGGTTTCTGATGATTTCTCAATTCTCCATCGACCATCTGTTCATCTCCAACTCAATGTTCCGATGCCTTCCCTTTTTCTGTTTATTTTTGTTTCTCCCTCGTCATTGGCACACATGACAAAAATAAGTTTTTAAAGTTTTCGCGTGAACTTTCGGTTTAGTGATTCTAAAATGTTATAATAGAGTACTCCAATTCATCATACCCTCTTTAATAGCATTTATATCGTGCTATCGATGTCCATATTATTTGTAATGAGTTTCTGTCAATTTGATTTCACCCTAAGGTCTTTATCAAAAAAATTTTAAACTATTCTTCTCTTTAACCATATTAGTAACCTGATTGATCACAAATATGCTCATCGATATATACACTGACTACCAATTTAATTTTTTTCTGTAACAGAACAATAATCTGAAAGGCATAACATCTTACATGAAATTTACTACTCCCTCCGTTTCATATTAAGTGTCGTTTTAGACTTTGAATTTTGTTTTAAAATAAGTGTCGTTTTATGTTTTCAATGCAGATGTTTGGTAAAATTTACAGTTTTGTCCCTACTAATTAATGTATTGACTAATAAAAAAATAATAAAATATAAAGATAATGGATAAAACTGAAAATTTAATATTTGTGCAAAAACCTTAAAGAACACTTATTATGAAACAGAGGGAGTATATGACAAGACATACATTTTGATGTTATATATTATTCTCACTATAAAAGTTTTCTAAAGGTATAAAATAATATGAATTTATTCTCAACACACGATTCTAGGCAGTCAATCATTTTAAATATACGAGCATCTCCAATGATTGTAAATTTGAGTATCTTAAAAAAATCTTAGCAATAAAAATAATCAAAACTAATCAAAACCACGAAGAATTGCTAAGATATATATCTTAAATAAGATGTTTTTGAGATGTTAAGATGTGCATACGTGTCGACTAATGAGTGGGCGAAAAAATGAACAAAAGGAAAAAAAATGCTTCCGACACGTCTTCGATTTCATCTCTTTTTCTCTATTTCTCGAATCCTCCGACGACGAAATCTCTCCAACGCATCTTGATCCGTCGAATTGAGAGGAAAAATTAGGCAGAATTTCCGCCGCCGTAACGCCGTTGTTTTCTCCACGAAGCTTGATTTTTTGATTTTAGATAGATTTTGAATTAACCTTTTTAGACGTAATTGGAAATTTCATCGCCGCGGAGGAGATGAGGAGCGTGTTGTTGTGGATTGCGGTGGTCGTGTGCTTGTTATGTTCAGTCGCGGCGGTGGTTCAAAGCGGATTTAGCCATTGTTTTTTTGAAACGAGAGATACTGAGACTGCGATATCTTTGCTGGAGAATAAATTGATCGGTTCCAATGGTACCTCTCACCTTGATTCAGGCAGCTGACTCTAAAGGAGCTGGTACACACACACACTTTCTCTCTCTCTCTCCTTCTCTTTTGTTGTTCTTCTATGGGATTTGAGATTTGACTCTGTTAGTTGGAATTTGAAATTAATGGCGTATGATTTTGGGTTAGTAAGAATGTCAAAGTGTGATAATTTTATTGTTACTGATTGGTTGTAGTGTTGTCTAAAGGTCAAAGTGTGATAATTTTCTGTTTTTGCATTGTTCACAAAGTGTTTGAGTATCCTGTCTCTTGTATGGATTTGTAGAACTGAGTACCTTTAAGATGGTTTTTGAAAGTGTTATAATGGTTTTTGCAGGTTCAGTCTTCGATGTTGCCATTGTATCAAGTAGATCAAACTCTTGTAAGAAACATTGTTTTATAGGAGTTGAAAAAATGTTGTTATACTATACCAGAAAGATGAAAAAGATAGATAGATGTTCTCAGCTGTTCTTGAAGATACTTTATACTGTTTTGATCTCAAATCTTAGGCATAATTCATGGTCAGATGCTTCATTCTTTTCTTTCCCATACCAGTGTTGTTTGTGCATTGCTTTCTTCGAGGGGACAAAACCGAGAGAATCTGTGAGCGGAAGTTAGACGGTAACAACGTCGGGTTGGTTTGGAAAAGATGTTGAATGAATGGCTCAGATTTGGTTGAAGTGATGAATGTTTAAGTTCTTCCTCTTTCATTTGCAAAAAAGCTTGTATGAGTTTGGTTGTATGAATGCTTGTATTAGAAGATATTGTTTTGCAAAATTTGAATTTGTTTTATCTTAAGAACCCATTGATTCTTAACCATTGGAAGGCAAATTTGTTAAGATCTTCTCTTTGTATTCTTCACTTAGAAAATGCAAAATTTTAATATTAAAAATTGTTAAGAATCAAGGTTAAGAACCAATTGTATCTAAACTATTGGAGATGCTCTAATCTACTTCTTCTTTAAGATATGCTGAACAATTATAAAAATATTTCAAATAGAGATTGTCTAAATTCTTATTGTCACCATGACCACCTTCATTTTATCATCATCCATCTACATACTATATCTTCATCAAACCTCTAGTTTTCATCATCTTTCTTTCTTTCTCTGGTCAGAAAATATTTTTACCGTCATCAGTGTATTCATTTACTCCACTTGCAAGAAACCTATAACAATACAAATATATACTGATGTAGACAATTCAGACACATGAATCTATTTAAAAGAAAAAATAATTACATCAAACACCTTGCAATTCTGTATACAATCAAATTGATCATATTAATTCACTCAAATCTATTCTAAAATTGGGATGTGCTCCGATCATATCCTCGGAATATAACAAACAATCCTAAATTTAGATTTCATAATTCATAATTTTTATACCTTTCTATCGATTTTGATATGATATAAAATAATTCTTAAGCTTGAATATTTTTTTAAACTATTATACAAAATAATAAACTCAAGAAAAAATTATTAAGAAAATGAAGAATACAAAAAAAAAAAAAAAAACGACATCTCGTACAAAAGTCAGAATTGAGAGAGCCCTAAACATAAGAAGAAGAAAAAACAAGAACAATAAGAAAAAGTCCACTTCGTTTGGTTTTAGACAAAAACAGTAACGTACTTTTGGTCAAACTCTGTAGAAAGAATCAATCTCCCTTGTAAATCTCACCCTCCTGTCACCATCTTCCCTCCGTCACTTTCCCAATTTAATTAAAAATCAGAAACCCTACATATACACCTAGGTTTAGGGTTTCGCTTTTTCAGAGAAAAATAGTTTCTTTTTCTTCAAGTTAAATATATTACTAATCTTGTACGCTACAGTGCACCGAAATCCCATAGATGTATAATACTCTGAGCCGTTGATGAAGACGAAGCAACCGCCACATGTCTATCATCGGCAACAATGGCGTCAACTTCTCCTACTCTCTCCCTAATACTGTACAGATACTCTCCTCTCTCTACCTCCCACACGCGCATTATACCACCTGCGCACATTAGCGCGTGCAGTCTATTAACACAACCCATGACTCTTCTCTGCGCCGCTCCACTCACACGGAACTCACACACCGTTTGTAGTGTGTTCACCCTGCGCACTCTCGCGTTACCTCTACTGTCCATTCTAAGGTACGCTTCGTCGTTGGCGTCGAAGCCTGTTACTATTAGTCCTCTACGTTGCTCTTCGTCTTCTCCGATGATCACTCCTTGGTTTCTTAGATCGATCACCATGATCCTCCATCTCGTGCATGCTACGGCTGTCTCGTTGCCGGAGATTCTTAGTCGGCCAAGCGACGTTGTTAGCTCTGTTAACGTGTGCCAACCCATGACGGCTTCTGGATCAGTGAGTGAACCACCGACGAATGTTGTCTCCTCGCTGTTACAGTCCCATATGTGAAAGGCACGACCTGGTACACCAGCGAAAAGACCGACCCACCAACGTCCACAGCCAGTGAAATCTACCAAAGCACCGTCGTTAACTATATCTCCGGCGTAAGCCGTGCGTGTATGACCAACGCCGTCTATTTCCGCCACGTGGATGTCTCCGTCCATCGTAGCAAACGTGAGTCTTGAGTCGGATATAAAAATGCCCGAGACGGCTCGTGAGAATCTGCCAAAGCGGTCACGTAGAGGTGGCCGTAGAGTCCTGACGTGGAGACGGCTATTTAAAAGAAAGAGGCGGACGGTTCCGTCGGCGAACCCTGCGGCTAAGTAGAGGTCGGAGAGAGTGAGACAACGGCATGAGAGACTATCAGGCTCGTCCACATCAGACGGGTCAAATTGGAGAGTGAAGTAGGTGTGAGTACGCGTCCGGAAGTTTCTGGCCGTTCGATGACGGTAGATGAACTCATCCCGCCACGTGTCGTGCATCAAATGTGTTCTTGCCCAAACTTGGCGAGAGAGGAGTTGCCATAGATGGTCGGAGCGAGAGACAGCTTGCCACGTGGTGCAAACCTGCGATTAAGAAAACAAAACAAGATTATTATAAGTTTTAACAAAGATTATTAGTAGCTTAATTAATAAATGTAACAGAAGGAAGGAGTTGGTTAAATAAAATAAATAGGGGAGAGTTAAAAGACATAGAAAGAAGATAAGTAGGCCTGCAACGAAGCATGAAAGACTCTATATATAGGGACTAGGAAGATGGAAAGACAACGACAGACTCAGACAGAAGCTCTGCGTAATATTTGTCTTACTCATCGAAAACACAACTCATTTATTTTTTAAAAATCTATTTTATGACATATGTTCAATTGACGGGACTAATCAATCTCTGCAAGCTATAGTGATATTACAACAGAAGCCCTAGTGTAAAAGGAATAACGAGAGGAAGCCCTAGTCCCATGTCAAAACAACCAAAAAACAAATCAATGTGACAATAATACAAAACAGATGATATGTTAATTTATTAGGACAGATGAGAAGACTTTAAATGAGTTAAGCTGAACATGAGATTACGACTTTGCCAACAAGCGTGCCCTTCTCTCTTTCATTTCCAAGAAAGGATAGCTTTAAGCCTTTGTCTTGTTAAAAGTAGAGCTTCCCATAAATACACAAATATTACACTTATATATATATATATATATATATATTAGATGTTTCTCTGTCTCTCTCATCTCTCTCCAACAATCCGTGGACCTACATTCTCTACATTTACGTTTATATTGTTATTTATTGTCTATCCTTATTCCTCATTAAACGCAAAGTTATGTATTTGACTTCGTACTCTAGGCTCTATTATCTAGTCATCCAAATAACCTAAAAACAAATATTTCCAACTCTATTACAAAACGAAAATATATCTTGCCAAACCAAAGGTTTAATCGTCTATTAGTTAGATATATTAGTCAGATAATCATATTAAGAAAAGAAAAAAAAACAATAATCTAGGCACCAGGGCACGAAATGTATCATAAATTAGATCTATACAAACGTAACATATTTTGGAATGGCAAATCCAATTTATTATTATGCAAATTACCAATCATATCAACAATCACATGCTGCTATGATATACTACTTTAAATAAGAAAGTAGTTCAAATATTCCTGAGTTCTAAGATGACCAGATTCAGAATCTCACTTTTGTGTTTTAATATGTCATATATCAAATGTAAGAACATACTAGTATAATCTAGCGATACCACGTGCTCTAAGAGACCCTTAACATTGGGTTCCATGTGCTTTTCGGCATATGTAGTGCCCATACTGTCGTCTCTTTTGACTGAAAATATTAAGGAAAGAAAAAAGATAAAAACCCACTTCAATGGAAAAGATGAATCGAGCCAGAAAAAAGATGAATCCATGATCAATTACAAAGTGAAAACTCTAGATTTGTAGCCTTAATTCTCTGACAAAAGTGTTATACTGCAGTTTGGCAAATTTGAAAATTCAATTAATTAGAAAATATTATGGATTTAATAAAAGATTTAGAATTAGCATGTATACATATTAGAGAGAGAAGAAAATAAGAGAATGAGAAGTTGTCAGAAGCTCTGCATGCATTACTCACTGGATCATAATATTGGCAGAGAAAAAAATAACAAAAGCAGGACGCAAAAAATGTACATATGTACTTATATACTATTCCTCGTTACTATATATGAGAAAAATCTTCAGCATTATATACATGTATTATATATTTTTTTGATGAACAAAAGAAAAAACAGCAATTTTCATATATGACACAGGATTATTAAAGAGAATAGTATGAATGGCTGAATAATACGTGGATCATGTATATGTTGATGAATAGAGTTTCCATGTATGTAGCTAATAACCTAATGTGGTAATATAGGACTAACATTGGCAAGGCAAAAAGACAGGACCTTACTTAGGTTTCTTTTTAGATGTTCTTAAATGTGCAACGACATTTTCTAGTTTTATGAGTCTGTCGTGAGAGGTCACTTTCTAATATTATAATTTTTAAACAATTAAAAGATAAATACCGTTTAAATAAAAAATTTAAAAATATTAAATGTATGTGCATTGGACTAAAGACTGTGCCTAATGTCTATCAACCAATATTTGGAGTCAAGAAAGTGTTTCATTTGATTATTGTTGTAAGAACTTTTGAGTCAAAAAGTGGATTTCTTGATCTTAAAAAAAAGGGCTTTCTACATGCCAAGAAAGGAAGATTTAAAGCCAAAAAAATAAAAAATAAACCTTGATTTTGTGCCCTAAGGGATCCAATCCATATTATAATATTAATATTAGCGATAACATGTCCAAATTTCACAAAGATTACACAAACGAAATGGGGTTGTATGGTCTCTTTAGACCATCTCCAATGTATAACTCTATATTTTAGAGGAAGGTTTCTCTCTAATGTATATCTCTATTTTTTACTCTAAAAAATAATATTCTTAGAAATATTCTATTTCTATTTTATATACTAATACATTTTAATTATATAATTTACAATTTGACCCCATATATTATAGATTTGCAAAATTTCCATAAAATATGATATTAGTTAAATTAAACACTAATTATTTATTAAAAAAAACATTACATCATATAACAATAATAAAATATTACAAATTTTTATTTTAAATAACAAGATATTTTAACTATCTTGACGGATCTACAAGCAATTTACCGAACTATTAAATTACTAGTTTTATGTTTTAGTTTTCTTCTGTTGTTTATTTTAAATTTAGTACTTGTTTGCTTTTTAAGTTTATAAAACTATGTGTTGTAATTGTTGTTTGTAAAATGATTATATGTATTAAATAAAAAAGTTTAAATTTGAGGGACTAAAGTATAAATAAAAAAGTTGAACTCAAAAATAGAATAGAGAATAGAGTTGCTCTATATATAGAGTCAATCTGCAGAAATCTCTATTTTAGAGTCAATTATAGAGTAGGGTTGGAGAAGAATTTTACATTTTTACTCTAAAATAGAGTAGAGTTGGAGATGCCCTTAGAAAATCCAAAAATAGACATTAAAAGGTATCAAAAGTGGACGAGAGAACAAAGAAAAATAAATAAACTTATTGGGTAAAAATGGAAGACAAAAAGTTTCTAAATGCATAAAAGAAAAACAAAGTCCCCAAACTATATGATATGTGAAAGAGACATCAAATTAATGTCGTCTTGTTAGACATAAAAGTTGGACTTGGACCCATCATAGAAACACAGAAAGGGCGGTTACCTTTCCAAAGGTCAGTTTTTTTTTTTTTTTTTTTTTCTTATATTTGTTTTGTCTCTTCAGAAGCCCAACCTTAGAAACTACTTCCACATTCAATTGAATTGAAAGAACTTCATCACTTAATTATGATCTAAAGAATAAGAATTTTGTTCTAATAACAAAAAGAACGAATTGCCAAATCAAATATAAGCTTAGAAACAACTAAAGTACAAGACACTTGAAACAAGCAGTACATTTGACTAGACCAAGATTGTGTCCCTCCACTTAAGTTATGATAGACCCACTACTAGTTTGACTTTGTTTTGTCTGTTTAAGATCTATGTCTCACTATTTTCAAGTTCAAATATAAGCGTACAAGCTAATAAACGAATTCAGATAGTGTAACGAAAGTATTATTTTACTACTTGAAGTATATATATCTATAGACAGACACGAGACAATTGATGTGTCCCGACCGTTACGAAACTAAAAGAAGGTATTCAAAGAATGTCAGAACTGACCCGAAAAACGTTGGCAAGAGCCGGAGCTGAGGCGAGGAGGCCGGAGGATGAGGAAGCATTAACGGCGACCTGAACGGCGAGAGATTCAAGAAAAGGCTCCGGCCAGACGTCGTTAGCGCCACGGCGGGGGCGAGAAGGAGAAGGGGCCTCGAAAACGCCGCCGCTTCCACCGGCGTCGGAGTCTCCGTTGTTGGAAGAAGAGGAGGAGGTAGACATGAGACGAGAGGGGTTATAAGAGGAACAGGGGAAGAAGAAGAAGCGGAGAGAGGAGAAAGAATGGTGGGGGAGAGAGGAAACAAAGGACAAAAAGTGTAGATAAAGACATACTTCTCCGAGGTGGGGGACCCAGGTTGTGGAGGTATGTTTTTTTCTATTTTTATGTTTTTGTCAAGTATTTACTTTTAAAATAGATGTAGAAAAAGTTTTTTTTTTTTTCTTAAATAGCTTCATTTAAATCAACTTATTCGTCTAATCTTATTTTTTTCCAAAAAAAATATTGGTTCAATATGGTGACATATTTAAGTGTTTTTTTAATTAGTAACATTTGATTTTATTATTTTAAAATATATTATTGTAAATCACTAGACTATAACTAAGTTATTCAACGATTTTTAACGATTTTCTTTTGTAAAATATTTGTTATATACCACTAAGAGTTTAACAAAATATTTGCTATATTTATTTTCATCCCAGAACATTAGTCAACATTATTATTTTCGTATGTGGTAAATTAGTGGCTGAACACAAAAATTTGTTAGATCTATCAATTTTAAAAATGATAAAGAAAATAATAAGCTAAAATCAAAAAAATTGTCAGAATTATCAAACTCCTAGCCCCAAATATCTAGTTCAAATCAGTCATCACAACCTTGAAACCATAGTTCAACCTTTATAACTCTCGAAAATATGGTTATATTCTTTCATCACAACCCTCAAACCTAGATTTTGACATATTCTGCCATCCCAAACCTTAAACCCACATTTTGTCACATCGCAGCTATCACGATCCTAATATGCTAAACCATAACTTCAGTCCAAAGCTCATCACTTACCACACTCACCAACTCATACGCATTCCTCAATTTTCACAGTTTGACCATAAAAGACATTCATAGTATGTCTTCAGTCCAAAGCTCATCACTTACCACACTCACCAATTCATAGAGGTTGACACAAATTAGATATCATGGATCCGGATCTACGAATACCTACGATTTCGATCTTCCAATATAATTAAAAATACTAAAATAATTAAAAAAAATAATTGATAAAATAAAATTTATAGAAAATATCATATAAATAGGCTTTAATTACACAACCGGTCCTTTAAATCGAATTAATGAGATGAGATACAACCCCTCCTCCTCTTGTGTTTCCCAATTCCCATAGTTTGGGTGGGGGAGGGAGAAGAAGGGGGGAAAGGATGTGTGTAGAAATGAAGGCTCCTCCAGGCTCCAGGTGTAGAAGATCTTTCAGGCATGCTCTTACTTAGGATGTACTTGTGTTTCCTTTGAAGAATACCATCAGCCCCGGCTCAGATGGGTAGGGCAGAGGTGCGACGGCCTGGGGTTTTTTTTTTTATAAAAAAATTTACATATAAAAAAGGCCCAAATATTTTTTAAAAATATTATTAATATGAGAATTATATTTTATGAGGTCTAATTATTTATAAGAAAATGTATAAAAAGGCCCAAAATTTTTAAAATAACAATTTTTACTATAAAAACTCCGCAAAAATTTTAAAAATTAAATAAATTTTCTCTTTGTATATAATAATAGGCCAAAAAAAATTTTTTTGCCCTAAGGCTCTCAAATATATTGAGCCGGGGCTGAATACCATCCAAGAATTTTCGACTAAGTTTCTTTTGTTTTTTTGTCTCATGAGTCTTGAGTAAGTTTTCTTGCTGCACTTTGCTTCTAACGCTAAATTGTTCATCGCAATTATTTTGGATATACCAGACAACTGAATTTCTTTATCGTGGAAGAAATTTGTAGTATTAAAAAAACTCGATTTCTTTGTTGGAGTTGGTCTATTTTCTTATTTGGTATCATTTTGGTTGTGCTTCGCATATTGTGATATTAACACCCCTTTGTACTGGTATACAAGATGCATTGTCGATTCTGTATAATCGAACAGTAGTTTGCCTATCTCGTAAGGGCATTAATATGCATATCAAGTTGTGGCTCGTTGCGTACTGACTTTTCCAGAGTGCCAAGTATTTTGTCAATTTGAATTTGCTTCAATGCAATTCCCATGAAGCTTAATACATGTATCATTGTTAGATTGACAGCTGAAACATAACACCCAACGGCCAACAGTTTCATAATAATAAAAAAAATTCTTAAGAAGAAAACATCAAATGCTCCTTTCTCGAAATGGAGATGAGTGTTGCCATCAAATAATATGTAAATCTATAAATAAGATCAATATTAATAAAACAAATGAGTTTTTTGGCCGGACGGGTTTGGCGGGACAAGTTTTTTAATCAACAATAATAAAAAGATTAAAATATCATTAATCCACCGCTTCAATACGGATTAAATCCTTAATTTTTTTTAATACCACCAATATTAGACATATTAAATCAGTCTCATTTTGAAAAGATCGTATAAAACCAAAAATTGTCCTGTGGTATTATGTTACTTAATAACAATTGTGAACTATAAAATATAAATATCTTAGAAAATGATACAATTTGCAAACTTTTATATATAATAAATAATCGTTAAATTTTAAAAATTACTACTTTTAGAAAACAAATCACGGGACGAGTTAAGAAGTTACAGGACGGGTTATATTTCAGAACGAAGTTATATGCTGGACGAGTTTGAATCAATATTTACAAAACTTTAAAATATCATTAACATGCCGCTTTAATACAGATTAAATCTTTAGTTTATTAAAATATAAATGTCTTAGAGAATGATATGATTTGTAAACTTTTATGTATAATAAATAATCATTAAATTTTAAAATAAAAACAAATCACGGGACGGGTTAAGAAATTATGGAACGGATTTATATGGCCGACGAATTTGAATTAATATTTATAAATATCATTAACATGCCGTTTAATACGGGATAAATCCTCAGTTTATTAACAATTTGCTTGTGGACTCGTGGTATACCGTTACTTAGTAATAATTGTAAACTATAATATAAACAAATATTTTATAAGAAGATATAATTTCAAAATATTTTTATACTAACTTTAAAAATAAATTTAAAAATAAATCGCGGTGTACCGCGGGTTAAAATCTAGTAAATATATATAAAAGTAAGAGATTCAATAGAATGAATTTGTTTTGGTCAATAATTCATAATAATTTTTCTAGTTTCTCATCCTCGAGGATGGTTTTTAAAAAGTATTACAAATAGATTCAAGAATTCATATAATAACCAAGTTCTTAAATTTATTTTCGAATATTCAGAAAATTAAATTAAATTATGTGTCGTAAAAACAAAGATAATTCACATATAAAAATGGTGGCACAAAATTATAATGTAGATGATTTAGCAAGATTTATGAATTTTATTAAAAAATATCTAGTGTGTAAAAATGTAAGAAATATATAAAATATTAAATGTGTGACATTTGAAATAATATTTTTAAAAATTAATATTAGATTGTATTATAATCATAAGATAAACAATATAATTCTCAAGCAATACATGGTATTTTTTTACCTACAATTACTTTTACCACCACACATCAGCATGAAATGTGTAAAGGTTTTATATGAGATATTCAATAACATTACTAAGCTAACCCTAGAGAGTATGGACAGTGGAAAGAACAAGAAGGAAAATGTACAACTGTTTTTTGGATTCGAGGAACTTAATTAGTATGATTGCAGTTGAAGTTCAATGGATTCATTGAATATTATTTTTTTAGCTATCTCTGAAGATAAAACCTATAATAGTTTTTATGAATAATGGAAAATTTTCTGCATCTATAATAGAGCAAAAACTTTGAATTTGTTCATTTAGAATCAGTCAAGCAAGTAGGCGACTCTAAAAGCTTATACTTTACATCAACATAACAAATCCTAAGAATTGGCCATGGATTCTATCTACAATTTGAGTCTATGTATAAGTTGGAAAGAAACAAATCACACATAGTTTTTGGCAGAAAATTGAGAGAACAAATATCAAGGCATCTATCTATCAAGGCATATCTATGCATTGATAGTAGCTGTAAAATCTCAAATCATATCGACAAGTAAGTTTTCTCATATCAACACCAAATCTTTTTGTTTCTGTCGAAAGCTTAAGCTTCTCCAAGATCTCCCCATCTCACATTGTACTTAGATGCAAGGTAATGTGCACCAACAGGACCTCTGCTTCCATATGGATAGAGTTCAGGAATGATTTTCTTCTCCTCGAGTTCCTTCAAAGCCGGTGTGAATAGATCCCATGCTGCATCTAGCTCATCACTTCTGATAAACAACCTCCTCTCTCCTTCGATTGCATCAAGAAGCAGTCTTTCGTATGCATCTGGTATCTCTCTTGGATACCTATCAGCCCAAAACGAGTAAAGATAAATAATCTAGATAGAAAACTAGAATCAGAATGTATGCACTGTGTTATACCTGGATCGGTATAGAAGGTTAAGGTCGCTGCGATCTAGTCTCATTCCAAGACCAGGGACTTTGTTGTTGATCCTCAGGTATATGCCTTCATCAGGCTGAACTCTGATCACTAGTTCATTAGTTGCATTGTCTAAATTAGTCGCAAAATTTTTCTTGTACAAGTTTCCTGGGACATGTCTGAACTGAACTCTGATCTCTGCTCCTCTGGTATGGAGAGCTTTTCCGGCTTTCATAAGAAAAGGAACACCGTCCCATCTCGCATTGTTGATGAACATGGCTGCTGCAGCAAATGTAGGAGTGAGACTGTGATTTGGAACCGTTGGATCGTCTGTATAGCCTGGATAAGTCTTTCCCCCCTTGTTATGCCCTTTGTATTGACCAACAACCACATTTTCAAGCAGTAACGGTTTCATTGATCTCAAAACTTTCACCTGACAGGAACACATCATCATCGGTATAGCATTTTATAACCAACCTAAAGCCTTTTTTTTTTATGAAACTTATTGTACCTTTTCGCTTCTTATGTCCTCAGCATCTAAGCTCACAGGTGTCTCCATTGCGAAAAGTGCGAGTATTTGCAAGAGATGGTTTTGCATGATGTCTCGTATGATTCCATACTGATCAAAGTAACTGCATCGATTTAACATTGGTAAGGTGTTCAGTGGCATACTGATAAAAGTAACTTTGTAAAGTGTTTATGGAAGCTTACCCTCCACGCCCTTCTGTTCCAAAATCTTCAGAAAAAA